TCTTCAGTCATCATTCTGCACTATTACATCGCATTTTCTTTGAGGTAATAATTCTAATTGAACTGAATTGCCATACTGATTAATACATGATAATAATTCATGATAATACCTACAACTTTTAATTTCCATCACTCAAAATCTCACCTAGTTTTTAGTCCTTTAAGCTATAATGCAACAATTCGGCCAGGGTTACAAAAGGAATGTATTAAGTTACCTAAAGGAAAAAGTTACAAAAAGGAACACCTTAGGTTACTTAAAGGAACAAAAGTTACAAAAAGGAATGTATCAGGCTACGTAAAGGAACCAATGTTACAAAAAGGAACATGGCAAGTTACAAAAAGGATCAGCCTAAGTTACATAAAGGACACCAAGTTACATAAAGGACAATGTGTTCCTTTGTGTAACCATTTTGGTTACACAAAGGAACCATCAAGTTACAAAAAGGATCATCGATATAACAGTCAGTCAGTTAGTCATAGTGTAAACTTTACGGGCGGTAGTTTGATTTATGCATGTAGTACCTTTTTGTATATGATCAGTAATTTAAAGTTTTTAAATCAGTTTAACTTGCTTTATTTATTAATGCTCTACATCCTTTTTGCTAAGTTCACGAAAATATTGAGGAGTTTTGACCGTTACTGTAAATTTTGAATCATTGCTTTTCCGCGGTTTGGGTTTTTTCCAAGAGATTTGCGCAGATTTCCCCCTGGAACACCCGATTTTTTCTTATACGTCGCAACTGTGCATGTGCCGTAGAGTCTTGAACATTTTTCACGATGTAAAGAAACGAGGAGCGACTAGCCTGCAACGCAGACTATATATTGGGGTATCGGTTTCGGTTGATTTGCCTAAATTTACCCCTAAATGCCTGTAATTTTGCCACGATTTAATGCAAATTATAATATAAGTATGATATAACGAGCAATTTGATTGGCTACCGCGCGTGCATTGTGAGGCCATAATGCACGCTTCTGGCTTTTGAAGTTTTTGTTGCTAAGCAACATCCTAAATAACATGTAAGGAGAATTTCATTATTGATCAAATAAACATATTTTGTTGTTGCCCTATAATTTCTTCTTATATTATAAAAGAATTAAAAAACGAGTCGCGTGCCTTTATGGTGTAATAATGCACGATGGGGGAATGTTGGGAGAATACGACATAAGCAAAGTCATAAGCATCGTTCTGCAACCAGGTTTTAATCTCGAAATAATTTTAGACATCAGTTTTTTCCTTGTTTTAAGCCTTTAGGTCAACATTTTCGTTAAAATTTCTCACCTTTTCATCTGTCACTGACAAAAGCCGCCTTTTTTAAAAATCCGCTTAGGTGATTACAGGGTTTATTGTCGCGTACTAATCCGACGTCGTTCCACCAATTTTTTGGCCAGAATTTGCGATAATTATTTTTATATCTTACTAATTATAGTTAAGAGAAGAAAATGAAATGTTGAAAAAACAACTTCTGGATATGGAAAGGTCAAAGGGACGTGAATCCGCGAGGTAAGAGTAAACTTGCCTTTCGAAAAATACGAATTGACATAAATTGCATCAAAATACTGTTGTTATACACCCATTAAACGAGTGCTGTAACGACCAATGCGTGTTGGTATAGAGAAATTTGGTTAGATCTAACACCACGGACAGAACCTAATAGTTTGTCCAACCTATTCATGGCGATAAGGTGCCGTTAAGGCCTCGACGTCGATTAGTTGTATGCGATTATCATTCAGGGCTCGGTTGTACATATCAAGCCCGTTTAGCTTAAGGTGGCTCCCTACAGTTTTGATTGTGTAATGCGCAATTGTGTTCAAAAGACCATTATTTTACCATCTTACAAAGTATGATCACGAAACTTGGCCACATAACTGCTATGATATCGCAAATTACGAAATATCTAAAATTTCGTAAAATATCCTCGTTGCCGTGGTAACATAACGATTTTAAAAAGGGCCAATTTGCAGATTCTGAGATAATTTTTTGAAATTTTCTTCGGTAAAACTTTCTAATTTTTTCCACACAGTAATCTTATCCATAATTCTTTCTAATGTTAGCATTTAAAAAAAATCGTACGAGCACTTTTTTTTCAATCCTCAAGTACGATTTTCTTAAAACTTGCACATTTTACGCATTTCAAGATTACAGAAAACTGTGTAAAGTTTGAAAAGAATTTACCGAAGGAAAAACGAGAAAAATACATTTATTTTTATGTTTATGACGTCACAAAAATCAGGATTTCAATTTCCTCGCGCGACCAGTCGACATCCCGCGAAGGCCCGCGCGTGTTTATCAAATGTTTATCGGAAGTTGTTCGCGCAATTTTAAAAAACCCGCCTCGCGTGCAACATCAGCCACGCGTGTTGCGTGTACTATTTCGCGCGCTACAAAATTACCGTGATACAACCATAGAGTGTAAGGAGCCACCTTAAATGGTAGATAAGTCAAAATTAAATAACACTCTTACATCTCTTGAATGAGTCAACTTGAATATTATGCACTGAATGTGTAGTTGTAAACAGTATCTTTGTATTAAGATCAAAAACATTTAGTTCGTGTGTTGAATAAAACGGCAAACTTGCTTGATACAACGGCCCCTGACAAATGGAAACGAGTGCTGACGCCACAATCTTTTTTTGTTTCGTAAAATGCCGAATATAAAATTTGACGTTTGTACGTGTGTTTATACATTCACATTTAGTTACACATTTCGAGAACGCCTGTTCGGTGAGTCAAATGAGTCTATGAGCTGTGAGTCAATGAGTTATGAGTCAGCTAAATTTTTTTTTTATTTTCGTTAAATGGAATAAAATACTGAACAAAAGACAACGGGAGTGGCTTTTGGATTTTTCGAACTTATGGTTTACGAGTTTGCGTTGTTATTTTCATATTCAGTTCAGTTGGTTAGTACGTTACTGGTACGGTGTTGCAAACCACCCTTAAGATTTATATTATATTACAGATTTGTGAACTTTTCATTGTCTGTATGAACTTTATTTGCATTTGTCTGGTTAGAAGTATTCTTCAATAATCATCCAGTATTAATACAATAGTACTTCAAGGGTTCATATGTACATGCAAGGTAGGACAACGCAGTCACCGCAGTAAGTCGCTTTTGAACATTTGCGACTGATTCCGATATTTTTTGACAGTTTCCATGAACTTTTTGTGATCATTTGAATTGGTTTATATGAATATTTACAACTTTGATCTTGAATCCTGACGCGATAGCTGTGTTTAAAACCTGTCCAAACTTGTATATCATGCAGTTAATAAATTGAACGTTAGTGAAGACCTGCTTATCCCATGCATCACATTTTTATTTTGATCAGTAGATACAAACCCAAGCCGAAGGCGAGTGTTTTTATCTCTGATACAACATGGACGCGAATGTTGTATAGTGCTTATCAAACGAATAGATATATCTAACCTTCTTTAAGAGTTATGTTGGCCATAATGTAAAATGTAGCCGAGAAATTCGAAGGTAAATTTTATGCAAATCAGGTGAAATCTTTATCCGCAGTAACAAAACTGTGGTTAGGAAAATGCAGCAAAATTTTTTGACTCATAACTCATAACTCATTGACTCATTAGACTCATTTCAACATTAATCTCGCTTGATACAACCGGCCCCAGCACGGTTAATAAGGACGGAACAAGGCAACAGAAAATAAACAAAATTATTATTATCGTAATGATTACACATTACCCGAACCATGCATCACACGTATAGATTTTCCATATCCTAATTCACATTCAGACGGGTTTTTACGGCTATAAACTTTCCAGTCTAAGATGAGTATTCGGCTGTTCTTAATTCTTAATTTACTGTGACTTCACTTCATTAAAAATACAAAACATACGCACCGTAGCCATTAGCTTCACTTGGCCCGCATATAAGCAACTTATGTAAAGACAGTGCTTTAAAGCACTTCATATCTGCATGTGAGATGTTACAAGCTACGAGTAAGATTACAGTGTGTGAAGATTACAGTGTGTGAAGATTACAGTGTGTGAAGATTACAGTGTGTGAAGATTACAGTGTGTGAAGATTACAGTGTGTGAAGGTTACAGTGTGTGAAGATTACAGTGTGCGAAGTACAGTGTGCGAAGATTACAGTGTGTGAAGATTACAGTGTGTGAAAATTACAGTGTGTGAAGGTTACAGTGTGTGAAGGTTACAGTGTGCGAAGATTACAGTGTGTGAAAATTACAGTGTGTGAAGGTTACAGTGTGCGAAGATTACAGTGTGTGAAGATTACAGTGTGTGAAGATTACAGTGTGTGAAGATTACAGTGTGTGAAGGTTACAGTGTGCGAAGATTACAGTGTGTGAGATTTAAGAGAATAAATCATGAACACTACAGTGAACTCCCCAGTTTTAATTGTTATTTCATTTGAGATCCTACCAAAAGGTATTAAGTCTCGTCAAAGATCCTTCCAAAAAAGGATTAAGCAAAATAAAAAAGTGTAGGCTTTCACCACAAGAACTGGTGGTGTAGTGGTGAAGACGGTGATCTGTCAAGTATACAGTGAATGGTTCAAGCCCTGGACAAACCGGAAAAGAACAACAAGGTAATAAGGTGAGAATTTGTGAGTTATTACAAAATATAATGCGGCGGCTATCAACAATGTTATAATGTCAACGCCATTATAACTGAAATGAATACAAAAGAAGCTTCGATTCAAGTGTCATTTTCTTCTCGGCGTATCCCGAAAAATATTTTCATTTTCACAATATTTTGAGATTATACAGTAAACATACTTTGTGGATGCTTTTCAGGTTCGCAAAACATTTTAAATGCTAAAAATTTTAGTGCTGTTGCATGAAGATTTAACTGAGGTTTTGAGCATATATTACGCAACATAGAAAAAGATCTCCTCTGAATTGTTTTGGGATGTCTCATCCCATTAGGCATGTTTTCCACTAGGCGGAATTTTGCGTGTGGGGCCAAATTTTTCGTTGTCTGCGCGCTTACATGCAGAGCTAATGTCAGAAAAATGCCTTGTGGAAACATGCCTTATAACCCCTCGGTCACCACGCCCCTACTTAACACAGCTTTGTCTTTTTGGATGCGCTCAAAGACCACTCATCATTGTTGATTAAAAACTAATAATAGTAAAATAATAATAGCAACAACAATTAGCCATGCACATCTATACATCAATATTATTATTAGATACCCATGCAATCCTATAAAATACGTAGGATTTTCATTACAATTTCAAAGATATATAGGGCCACGCAGAGTACTTCTGAATTCTGGCATCTGGACTATGAATTTTTCTTCGATCCTGTTCGAAACCATTCCTTGCACACGCGTGATGACATCGACCAAATGTCTAGGATTCCGATTTCCTCTTTCTTCACTCCCATATTCTTCAGAAAGAGCCTTGGTTAATTCATCAATATACCACGAACCATGTTCGGGATGTCTGTAAGCCACGTGACCAGAGGAAGTTGAGAATGCTATCAGGTGGTCGGCTTGGGGCGGAAGATAACCAGAGCTGCTTTGTTTATTTGGATGGTATGGAAGTCCTACCGCCGGACTAAATGGCTTGCACGAAGTTGAAAAAAAAAGAGAAGCTTCTATGCTTTCAATGCTTCTCGCTATTTGACCATACTCTGTAAGATTAAAAAAATACTTGAAGGTTTCCGTCTTCAAATGGCTGACGAAAACAGCTTCGACCAATCAGAAGTATTATCATTAAGTATTTTTTTAATAACAACAACGGGGTAGAGTTCCAAGTTTGATTTTAAAGAGCGAATCTCCGTTCTCGAAACTCGGGCTTCCGCCAATCAGAACACAATTAAATATACAAATGTTACTTTATTTTACCTGTGAAGGTTTTTGATTCTTTGACTCCTATACTAACTTTCTTCCCTCGGCATGTTTGAAAGATGAATATTTTTGGCTTATCGACCAGTGAACGATTATATCTCCTAAATGGTGACAGTAGTTCATCAACAGCCACATATTGACCGTCAACGCCCATGATTCTATCGCAGCGCGCATCATCAGAACTATCATCGCTCACACCACCAGAACCGTGGGATAATACAACTATGATGATACAGTCGAATGTGTCCCAGTTTTGGCCTGCCAGTTCACTGAATCTTTTTTTCATAGCATCACATGAAAGATTATTGTGAGGCTCACCAACAAAGAAACCAAGCGTTTCAAAACAAGTCGTAAGTTTTCCAACGTCTGCACCACTTCCTCGCCGATAATTGAAATCTTCATCGCCAGCATAATTATCTGAATGGCAAAAGACGTGTTTAAAGCCTGTTCACACGTTCCAAATTTTATGCATAGAATCACTTACTGAACGTATTGCTAGCGGGAATATGACTGTCGTCGTACGGGAATAGCAATGACGAAAAGAGAAACAAATAACTTTTCAAAATAATGCATAATATATCCTACTAACACAGATCCTTCTCTCCCTTGTGGTTATAAATTGATGAAATTTCTTCGCTTTGAGTTTGGAAACCCTGATTGCTAGTTCTAAATTTTCATTAATATCCAATAAAATTGCGGCTAAAATCGCACTATCAAGAGGTTTTAATGTAATCTTTATACATACTTATAATAGAAACACGGCCTCTTCTTTTCATAGGATAAAAATTCACAGGACCACCGTCTACGTTATCAGAAAATTTGAATCTCTTTCCAGTCGAGTTAAAACTGCGGTGACCGTCCACTACGTCTTTGGCTTCATTCTTCCTTTTCTTTTTGCAAGGATTCCTTTCTTGTTTCGCTGCCTTTGGTTTAGTCTCTTTGGACTTGTTTTGACCTCTGCGTGGTCGTAATGTTGGAGGCATCCTGAAGAATTAAGAGGACTTATGCACTGGTCCAGGTCATCTCTCTTCTCTTAAATTAACATTAAACTTTATCCTTCCTATAATAGTATTACTGAGCAGGTTATTCTGAGCAAAAAAATGAATGTGCAGTATCCATAGTTACAAACACGAGTCAAATGCCTTTAAAATCAACCAGGAATTTTTTATTTAGTTTTAGTTGCTTCTTGATTTACCTTGCACGAAAGTAAGGCAAATGATGAAATGGTCAAATATACTGGAATATGGTATACTCGACTATAGTATTCTTTTCTATGCTTTATTTACTATGCTTTTTCAAAACCCTTCTCTCTCTCACTTCCCTCGACTTCCATGTCCTTTCCCACACGTGACCGTTACGAACACTACATCGACCATGGTCGAATATACTGCAATATGGTATACGCGACCATGGACGAATATACTGGAATATGGTATACGCGACCATGATCAAATGGTATGACCGATGTGTATGTATTAAATGAAATATGATACAAATTGATACACCAATGTTGAATCTACCATATTCCGGTATATTCGATCATGGAAAGATTGAACCAAACCATAGTCACGTATATTAGACCATCACTATCTTTTTATCGTGTCTTAATTTAGACTAGTCTTAATTTACGCAAATTTCGCAATATTGCACTGATGAAGGCCCGGGTTAACGGACCCAAATCTAATTTATTAATTTTTTTGAGATTGTAAAGTTTTGACTGATGCAATCGCATGAGTCGAAGCAGTCTGGATCTGCCCCCGACGTTGCACGTTCAAACAAGATCCTGTACAATTAAATCATTATTATTATGATTGCTTACGTTACTCTAAAATTTGGAACCGGGGTTTTCCCCAGGATTTTCCCTTACAACTAGCTGTTTGAAGTCCATAAATAGTCGATAGCAATTGATGCATAGTTTTTCTCTCTCAAATGAAATGTATTCTTCTATATTATTCATTTTTGTATGTATATATACTACCAAAGTTATTTATTAAAAAAATTAGCGAATATATAATAAAATTGAACCAATGCAATCATGAAAATATGAATGATGATAGGTCCCAGACTTCTGACACCCTCTTCAAATCCAATCAAAACTTTTAATGCTTAATGTCTTTATTGGCGATCAACAGCAAATCAGGCAGAACTCAAAGCATAGCGTGTTTTTATTAATATACAATTACTGAATTAGGTTTGAAGGTTTTGCTTACTAAGCGATGTTTCAAATTTTTTCGTTTTTATATATTTTTAAAAGTTATTGTTCCTTAAACCTTTGGCATATAGCTATAGAAACCATGGTTTAAAAAATTTTTGGAAGTGTGGAATATACCTTTGTTGCACTCATGCAAAACTCTTAATGGATGTCTTTTTTGGCGACCAATACCAAATTCGCCAGAACTCAAAGGCAGATGTGTTCTTAATATACAATCAAGTTTGAAGGTTTTGCTGATTGAGCGATCTTTCAAATTATTTTTTCTTTTTATTTATTTTTAAAAGTGATTGTTCCTTAAACGTTTTTGCATATATTAGATACTGTACCATGGCTTAATATGATTTTTCGAACACAACTGTAAAATATATACCTTTGTTGCACACATTTAGGCAAAGATAGGAAAATGAAAGTTCAAAGGTTGGCGTACACACAATACATGAATACAAAAATTATATACAAACTAATTGTATCTAAATATTCACAATTTTTTCACCTGTGTGTTTGTTACCGTCGTCTGTGTCAATCAACTTGTGTAGGAAAGAATCTCCCAGTATTGTATCTATCATCAATCTCAATAAAAACCTTGCTTTCTGTTCCTGATGGCGAGCAACTCTGGTTTGATTTCAGACGGTCGAATGTATTTATACACAATAGTTAGTTCCGCTTCCTGTCGTGATGATAAATCACTTACGGTGAATAATAAAAAGACGCTATCTGATACCTTTATTAACTAGGGGGTTATGGGGACTTCAAATAGATAATGACTATGATTGGACACCCGCATTATTCCGGAATTTCTTTTAGAATAATAGGGGACTTTTTTGCAACGGAGAATAATAGTATAAAAATGGGAATTATGAAAATAATAGACATTTACAGGCTATTTTTCCAACGTTCGGTCAGTCTTTTGATGAGCAGCATCAATATTAAACTGATGAAGGCCCGGGTTAACGGACTTAAATTTAATTTACTTAATTTTATTGAGTTTATAAAATTTTGACTGATGCAATCGCATGAGTCGAAGCAGCTGGATCTTCCCCCGACGTTGGTGTCATTCATGGTCACTTGTGTGCACGTTCAGACAAGATCCTGTACCATTAAATCATTATTATTATGATTGCTTACGTTACTCTAAAATTTGGAATCGGGGTTTTCCCAAGATTTTCCCTTACAACTTGCTGTTTGAAGTCCATGAATAGTCGATAGCAATTGATACATAGTTTTTCTCTCTCAAATGAAATTTATTCTTCTATATTATTCATTTTTGTATGTATATACTACCAAAGTTATTTATTAAAAAAATTAGCGAAAATATAATAAAATTGAACCAATGCATGTCGATTCATAATACAGCATAGAACCATGAAAATATGAAATGATGTAGGCCCCAAACTTCTGACACCCTCTTCAGATTCAATCAAACTCTTAATGCTTAATGTCTTTATTGGCGATCAATAGCAAATTAGGCAGAACTCAAAGCCTGACGTGTTTTTACTATACAATTAGGTTTGAAGGTTTTGCTTACTAAGCGATGTTTCAAATTTTTTCCTTTTTATATATTTTTAAAATTGATTGTTCCTTAAACCTTTAGCATATTTAGCCAGAGATATAAGAATAAAAGTTAAAAGTTTGGTGTACACAAAATACATAAATACAAAAATTATACAAACAGATTGCATTTAAACATTCACAAAATTTTCACCTGATTGTTTGTTACCGTCGTCTGTGTCAATCAACTTGTGCAGGAAAGAATCTCCCATTATTGTATTTATCATCAATCTTATACTAAAAGCCCTCCTTTCCGTTCCTGATAGCGAGCAATTCTAGTTCAATTTGAGACGGTCGAATAAATTTATACACAATAGTTAGTTCCGCTTCTTGTCGCCATCTGATACCTTTATCAACTATGTGGTTTTTTAGACTTTATATAAGTGATGACTTTGTCATCATGATTTAAGTCCATTTATTAATTTCAGTGTAATTGCAGTTTATATTAATTTAGTTTAATGCCTCGTCATTCCTTTGAGAAGGTTGACTCTTGGTAGCCTCCATTCTTTCGTGCGAGGGATTCACGTTGAAATGAATATAAATTGTTATATATACATATTACCAGGAATCGACATTATGCCCAAACTCTCTGTCTTCTTCGTAAAATAGGTTATCAGTTATAGCATTTAACTTTTTTACCTTTTAGACACCTTTTGCCAAACAAATCAGAGTCTTGAGTTACAATTCAAATCTAAAATTCCCTGAAAAAACATAAACTATAGGAATCGGTATTTCCCCGTATTCGACTCTGGCGGAATTGCATTTCTAAGAGTGGCGTTTCCCCACAATCTGGTTTTCGTTCCTGGTATTAGCTTATTTATTAATTTATTTCAAAATAATATAACAGCATAACTATGCATAATTTTATGATAATCCTGTGCGATCACAGTACCCTGTAGCAATTTACGAAATTTTTAATGTAAGCGTTTTCCTGTAATTTTCCTGAAATTAGGGTACCACCAAGATATCACGAGACAGAATGGAAATGAACAGACCTTTCTTGACAATTAAATCAATTAGCACTCTGCTTAGATATATTCCTTAATGCTGCCTAGCACACTATGCTTATCGTAACATGAAGTTTCACAATAATTCTCTCGACGTTATGTATTCGCCAAGGTTTGAAGGGGGGTGTAACAATATATTTTTCTATTGGGCGCATGTTTATTCCTAATTTGGCATGTGGTATTGATGTGCGATTTACGATGAACGGTGTAGTTTTTATTCAAGATGTAAGCCTTTATGAGTTTATTGCGCTCTACACGCCTAAAAACGCTCAGGTTGATGCAAGTTGATATAAACAGGATGGAGCAATGTTGTGCTGCCCACATTGTTCAGAGTTGTTATCAACATTGAACAATATTGTTACACCCGATTCAGTTTCAACATTCCTAAATTCTGGCTTTGTAGTCTTAAGATAAGGCGTTGATTTTTATCTGTAGAAAATTCACCTACAGTTAATATGTGTGACGTTGGTGTCATTCATGGTCACATTTGTGCACGTTCGGACAAGATCCTCCACGATTAAATCCCAACTTATTATTTTGATTGTTTACCTCATTTTAAAACTTGGAATCGGGATTTTCCCCAGGATTACCTACCACTGGCTGTTTGAAGTCCACATAATTATGGTCGATTGCAATTGATACATAGTTTTTCTCCTTCAAATGACATTCATTCTTCTATATTATTCATTTTTGTATATATACACTACCAAAGTTTTCACAGACTCATGCAATTTATTAAAAAAATAGCGAAAATATGATAAAATTTAACCAATGCATGTTTATGTCGATTGAGCATAGAAATACAGCATAGAAATATGAAAATATGAAATGATATAGGTTCCAGACTTCTGACACCCTCCTCAGATTGACTCATGCAAAACTCGTAATGAATGTCTTTTTTGGCGACCAATACCAAATTAGCCAGAACTCAAAGCCTGACGTGTTCTTAATATACAATCAGGTTTGAAGGTTTTGCTGATTGAGCGATCTTTCAAATCATTTTTTGTTTTTATTCATTTTTAAAAGTGATTGTTCCTTAAACGTTTTTGCATATATTAGATACCATGGTTTAATATGATTTTTCGAACACAACTGTAAAATATATACCTTTGTTGCACACATTTAGGCAAAGATAGGAAAATGAAAGTTCAAAGGTTGGCGTACACACAATACATGAATGCAAAAATTATATACAAACTAATTGTATCTAAATATTCACATTTTTTTCACCTGTGTGTTTGTTACCGTCGTCTGTGTCAATCAACTTGTGTAGGACAGAATCTCCCAGTATTGTATTTATCATCAATCTCAATAAAAACCTTGCTTTCTGTTCCTGATGGCGAGCAATTCTGGTTTGATTTCAGGCGGTCGAATGTATTTATACACAATAGTTAGTTCCGCTTCCTGTCGTTATGATAAATCACTGAAGCGTAATGTACATACGCATGTAAATTCCAGTTAATGAGGCAATGCTTTGAGGAATTGTTCTGTACATAAAACGGCATTAACGTTCTAACGGATCCTAAGGCTCACATCAGTACGATAGCACACCAGCTCTTACACTATATTTTTGCCCGCTGCCGATCGGTAGGGATGGAGACGGTATCCGAGCGAAACGGTCGGGCTAGGGGTGAAACGGTGTTTCTTTTGAGTTTGCTGTTTTCGGCGCAGATAATAACTCAACGAACCATGCTATTTTAACGGTACCTCCTCCATCCCGTGATCAACTGTCACACGTGAGTCACTGAAGTGAAACCGTGGAATAAACGATACGAACATCAAAGTACACACACACACAAAAAAAAATACCTGTAAATGTGGCGATCATTAATGAATTTACCTTTACCCCAAACACCAATTCCACGACCAAAACGGGTGTGAAAAGAACTGTGCTTAATCCTGCAAAACAAAGTAACAAAAAAAAACAAACCCCAGCGAGATTAATAAGACGCTTCTCCCGTAGAGTTCACAACATCGCGTGAAGTCGTTAGGGAAAGGGGCGGGATGGGTCACGCAAGCAACTAACAACTCGATCAGGCAAACTGGGCTCATATTTGTACTCACCGGAGGGGGCAAGTAGCCGACCGGACAAGCGTCCTAGGACCCGCGACACTACGATACGAAGACCCGTATAACATTAACTTCCTTTATTATTTAATAATAAATACATTTAACGTTCTAACGGATCCTAAGGCTCACATCAGTACGATAGCACACCAGCTCTTACACTATATTTTTGCCCGCTGCCGATCGGTAGGGATGGAGACGGTATCCGAGCGAAACGGTCGGGCTAGGGGTGAAACGGTGTTTCTTTTGAGTTTGCTGTTTTCGGCGCAGATAATAACTCAACGAACCATGCTATTTTAACGGTACCTCCTCCAAGTATGTCTCCAAGCCAGATGAGGGGTTGGAGTTAGGTTACCGTTAACCTTCTCCACCAGTCTCCAACCCTACAGCAGCGGGGCAACGTTGAAAAATGACTGCAGCGATGTGCGAACGTAGCGAAGGTAAGCTTGGCTAGTCCAACGTCCAAGAGCTTGAATTAGATGATCCGGAATCCCAGCCGCAGCGGCGGAAGTAGCAGCCCCAATGCGAAAGCTGTGAGATGAGTAGTTCCCCAATTACGCCGGCTCGCCTCAAGATTTTGCGAAGGAAAAAATTGACTTGTTGAGCAGTTAAGGGGAAGCCATCCGACCACAGGAATAAAGGACCAGGGCCGCTGCCACGCATATCGAGGTACGCCTGAAGCGCGAAGACAGGGCAGAGATGATTGCTTGAAGACCCGATGTACAGGACCTGTCCGACGCCAAGAGGATCAGTCTTAGAAAGCCAGAAAGCACGCAGACCAAAACATAACTGCATCGTAGACGCCAAGATCACCAACCGTCGACGAATGAATAACATCCAATAGATCGCGGGTTATGGGGCAGCGTAACGAGGAAACGCCAGACCGATAACGACGGATGCCCTGAAGCAGACGACGAAACCGTGGTTTCTCTTTCGTGGGATCCGGGAAGCCAAGGTCAATATGATAGGAACGGACAGCAGCTAGGTAAACATTAAAGGAAAAAACTCCGTATTGAGCCGAATAGGGTGGGTAGGTGAACGAAAAGCGCAGAGCAAATTAATCATACGCCGAGGAACAACTTTCGTAACGTGGTGAAGCGAGCCGATAAAGGATTCTAACTCTCGACGAGTGCACCAAGACTTACGATTCCATTTTTTAAGAAGCTCTACGATGGCCACAAATTTTAGCGGATGGCAACCGAGCAGACTGGGTGAGAGAATTTAGTTCCACACCTAAAAAGACTAACGTAGTAGTAGGACCCTCGCACTTTGACGGATGGAGAGGCAAACCCAAACGGAGGAATAAGCACCTGGCGATGGCTACATTACTAGCGCACTCGGTGGAGTTGCCGGGGCCAAGGGTCAGGAAATCGTCGAGGTAGCGAAGGAGAAAACGAACGCGATAATTAGCTTTAAGAATCCATTCCACCATTTCGGCGACGGAGTTGAAGATAAATGAGGCGGAACGCAGACCAAACGGAAGAGCCAAATCGACGAAATATGACTCAGGCCACCACATGCCAAATAAGAAACGTTCGTCAGGTCTGAGAGCGATGTTACGGTACGCACATTCTACGTCAAATTTGGCCATAAGAGCACCCGGACCAAGCTGTACAAACGAGCAATGGCATGATCGACGGAGATGTAAGTCAACGAGAAAGGATCCTTGGGGATGCCGTCATTAACGCTATGGCCTTCGGGTGACGACAAATCCTGAATGAGACGCCGTTTACCAGGCTGGCCTTTCTTTGGAATGACCCAAAACGGGCTGCACTGTAGATTAGGAAACGGTGGCGAGGCAAAAGGACCCACGACACGACCATGCGAAATTTCATTTGCCAAATATTTGTCGATAACATCGGGATGTTGCAAGGCCGATTTCATGTTTCGGTGCGATGGTCGTAAAGAGACTAGTGAAGGATCAAAACCCGACGGAAAGCCGTGAGCTATACCATCAACACGTAGCGAACCATAGCTTGATTGGGATGGTTGATTAATTCCCGATGAAACTCGACGTATTAAAGCGGCGAAACGCGGGAGACCAACGGAAACAGGATGCGGGACTCCGGCAACGGTGGATCTACAGCACGAACGAAAGCACCTACAACGGAGCAGAAAAATAGCAAGAACAGCGAGCGGAAACGAACGGAGCGACCGGTGCGAACGGTACGAACGGTGCGACCAGTGCGATCGGTACGAACGGTGCGACCAGTGCGATCGGTGCGAACGGTACGAACGGAGCGACCAGTGCGAACGGTACGAACGGTGCGACCAATGCGATCGGTACGAACGGTGCGACCAGTGCGATCGGTGCGAACGGTACGAACGGAGCGACCAGTGCGAACGGTACGAACGGTGCAACCAGTGCGATCGATGCGACCGGTACGAACGGTACGAACGGTACGAACGGTGCGAACGGTGCGATCGGTGCGACCAGTACGAACGGTGCGACCAGTGCGATCGGTGCGAACGGTACGAACGGAGCGACGAGTGCGAACGGTACGAACGGTGCGACCAGTGCGATCGGTGCGAACGGTGCGAACGGTACGAACAGTGCGCAACTAAATCACAAGTGAAGCTAGATAACTATTTTAATCAGCAAATTCATAACCGAACACGAATTACAACAAAAAAAAACTAAAATAGCGCACAGAACAATGTTAACGTCCGGAACAACGGGAACAA